CTACGTTTTATTGGCACTTTTCTTTATACAGTGGATGGGAGGTAAGTAGTTTGTTCTTTATTGATTTTATTAATTCATTACAACATATGCACAAATTCAGTTGGTGTGAGGAACTTGGAAGAGTCGATGTGAATTTTTCAAAAGCATTAATATGCAGGGCCGATTCTGCTTGTTATACAGAGACAAACAAATCTATATTCCCCGTACTGTCGAGCACTGTTCTTTCATAGTCCCTACTCTGGAGTCTATAAGTGTGTCTAATGATTCAATTTGTTTTAAATTCAACTAACTGTGACCCAATTAATTTACAACATGCGATAAAAACGAGTGTTATTTATATATAGTATATATTACTTCCCGAATATGGGCGTTTGTGTCTGAGCGCAGGTGATTATTTGCCCGGCGTTAGGAGCGATCTACTACATAACTACGCAACTACTGCATAATATCCATTTCGTCTGCTGCAGCCATTTAATCGAATGCAGGTTGTCAAGGGAGCCGGTTAACAGGATGCGTAAACATATCCATCCGCAGTGCCAAACTTATCAATTGACGCGATTGCACGCAAAACTTTGTTTCTGCTTATGAAGAATGTACATTTTTACCAATAAGAATTACTTTTAAACATTCAGATATAAACCCTGTATTCTTTATGTTATTAAAGGCATGTAATAAAAATATTACAGCCCGAATATGGGCGTTAGGGCACTCGCGCATAGAGATCTTTGGCAGAAGATCACCTGCACTCGGGCACAAACGCCCATATTCGGACAGTAGTATATAATATTTAGTTTTTGCCCTAAATAAAATTATAATCAAATAATTTTGATATATATGTAAGTGCTATATTTAAATATACGTAGACATTTAATTAGCTAAGTATACAAAATGGTCAGGCAGAACATGATATTAAACTGATTACCTTACTAACAAACAAAAATAATAAGGTAATCAGAGAAATCTGTCTATTAATTGATAACTGATTTAAACAAATGAAGAACAATATAAAATTCAAACAACCAGCTCCCTCACAAACTATAGCTAATTGTCATTCAATAAAGCTTTGATAGTTAACATACTTTTCCCAGCATCCTCTGCGGCTTGACAACCGTTGGACGATAGATAGCCACCAAAAGAAGTACATTTTATAAAGAGTTGTGTTCGTGATTATGAAAAACATTGTGGTGAAGCATTAAACAAATAATATTCACATATTCTGATATATACGCTAATGATATATATGCAAACATTCTCAAAAGTTTCAAATCTTGGAATGCATGTTTCTATCATAATATTACAACAACAAACATTCATCTAAGGTCGACTCCGTTGACGGATGGTCATTACGTATTATGTTGTTTACCACGGATTTGTTTGTGCGACATGCTAGTATTCATCATTTTTATCACACAAAAGCAGGCGCGTCAAAATAAGACCTTGTTTTTACGGGATGGCCCCTGTGATCCTGGCAGCAATCCAACAACGGAGTAAGCCCCCACGTCATTCACTTGTTGTTTCAAACAATATAAGACGTAGATCCGAACGTTCGGCGTCAGATACTTGTGTTTTTTGTTATTTTATTTTGTTTTTCTTTGTTGAGGGGCATATACTTTGGCAATAATGAAAAGAATAACTGTCAATAACAAACAAACAAACTCCACGAGCCAAGCAGTAAATTCGACATGTTTCGCCAATCATTACACGTACTGTATATAACCTGTAAAACATGTTTGTATCAGTCTAATTCATGATACAAAGTGTTATTTCTGCGTTTTTGAATTTCAAACTCGCACAGTGTAGATAGGAACGACTAAAAATACCAAAGTCACTCGTTCGACTCGCGTGTAATAAGAGCGAGGTAAAAAACGAATACAACATGCGTCTGGTATGCTTAACATATTGCGATTCAAACGACTTTATGTGTTTCACTCCACTTTTGTGTTATATAAATTATGTCTCATGACGTCATCAAAGAGACTATTATGATTATGTGCGTATATCTAATGTTATATTTACTTCTAATTCCTAAAATGATTCAAACATGTGTGTATGAAAAAAGCATACGAGTTATTATACACCTGACACCGTAACGCCATAACTTACAGCGTGCCGTAATTTCGTGGCATTTTACGGGGTATTGTTATCCTACCATATTAGGAAATGCGAATTCCAAATATGGAATGATTACGCGCGTAAGCGTCCTCTAATATTAAAAACAAACATGAATGCCACCAGGGTTTCAACGGACTCCGCACAAAGAAGTTCGCTGATTCTGTTCTAAACTTTTTGGATTTCGGCATTTCCATAATGTATCCTTGGAAGGAACTTGTGTCTAATAATAAGGTTATTACGAGGATACCTCAAAGTATGCACTCAGAAGTACGCCGTCGTATTGACCTCGATACTTCCGCTGTATTATACATATTTTGAGATATCCTCGTAAAGACCTCATATTATTCGTCAAGGCGCGATATGGTTTTCTTACAGAAAACAAAAAACTTGCAGATATGTTTTCATATTAATATTGTGGTTTATTTGGATGAGAATGAAGGCTTTTTCATTTTATTTTCTCTAATTTTGAAACATTCAAATATGTTTTAGCTAGTTTTATAATTGTTTTATTTTCATTGTTGTTCAATATTGTGAAATCTTTGACTCAGCGTTTAGTTGGTTTCTTTCATTTTCATATAATTTGTAGTTAAGCAGAAAATGTTTTTCATCTTCAATTTCGTTTACATCACACACAGGGCATTTCCTTTTGCAAGCATCTATTTTATTGTAGCGACCGACCCATTTATATTTGTAGAACATGGGCACTAATTCCTAGTTTTGTTAGTGTGAATCTATGTTTAGAGTAATTCATTACTGAAAGATACTCCGCATATGAGCAGTCATTTTTTAACATTCTGTATGTGCGCATTTTTTTTTTTGACTGTTAATTTTGAATATTTTTTGGAGATTGTCCATAACCTTTTTTCTTATTGTGGCAGCATTATGCAGATGTTGGTTCTCCCACACATTGTTTTCATTTACATATTTTAATATGCTTTTCAGTTAGGTGTATTGTTTTGTCAAGCTCCATTCCAAGTCGATATGCTTCATGGACCAGAGTATTTTCATTTTTATTTTTCATTTTTAGCCGATAATTTATTAAGTGTTTTATCATTATGCTAGTTAGAAGTAGGGGATACCTACCAAGTTCTAACAGACATGATAAATTAATAGTTTTACAGTTAACTTGTAACACATAGGTCCGGTCACTGGTAGCATAGTGGTTGTCGCTCCAGGCTCATGATCGGTAGACCCAAGTTCAAATCCTATCTGAGGCTGAACATCAAAAGGGTCAACCCCTACCCTGGGTGAGTGTGCCACAGACTCAATGGGAAGGCCAATTCCACTGGCCGAGTTTCATTCACTAACGAATGCGACTTTGGGGAACCTTTGTTAAGGTCCGCAGGTGCTTGTGTTCGACCGAGCCTGGTTGACGCCAGGATAGCGCATTAAAATTGCCATTTGACAGAGAGATGGCCACACAGCCCTGTCATGTAGTCCCAAACAAGAATATGATTTCTGTGACAAAATGCACTATGTGTCAGCACTAGCACTTGCAATTTGCTCATACAAAAAAAAAAGTCAGGAGAGACAACGGTGACATTCAATGTCCAGAACTGTCGCCTGGCACAAAAATATTTAAAAAAAAAAACAAAACAAAAAAACACATATTTACAGAATTTGGTGTGTAGCTTCTCCATAGGAAGCATGTTATAATGAAGATCTTTGGATTGTAGTATGCAATCACTAGCCCATACTTCACTGCAATAGAGTAGGACTGGTTTGATTATGCTGTCGAATAGTTTCAAGTGTGTTTTAATTGGGGTGTTATTTTCTGGGTATAATAGTTGTTTCATTTTGAATAGTGCTTTTGTTGCTCTGTGTCCAAGATATTTTTGTGCTTTGCTGAGTTGACCTGAAGAGTTTATTGTTGGTCCTAAATAGGTATATGATGTTACGTTATCCAATTCTTGACCATTTATTTTAAATTTGTTTTTTGATAACATTAACCAGATTTGTTGAAAATTATTTTTTTGATTTTGATATCCAGCTTCCACTGTTTGCAATATATTCCTACAGAATCGATGGTAAATACTATCTATTTCAAGATCATTAAAGTAAACAAACCAGCCTATTGTTGTGAACTTCTTATGAAAAGCTCCGTGCGATTTCACACGTAAACACGTATTGTCAACAACTGTATTGCAACTTACTGATTCACAATACGTGTCATCAATCGTTTCGGAAAAAAACACACGAAGAATTGAAAGCAATCGCAAGATATGGGAGTTTGAGAATACAACTGTTTATGGCCAGGTTTTATCGATGTGTGGTAATGTTTAACAGTTACAACAACCTGGGCCCTTCATATTCACAACTAAATTCTTTGTAACAAAAAGCCCTCAAATTTAACTGAATATGTTTAATTATGATGGTGGTGATTTGTAACATCAATAATGAATCCCCCAAAGTTTCATGCTGGACGCGCGTTCTTGCATTGGCCCAGGCACTGCCGAGTAACCGCTTATTAACTGGACAACACCGTGACGTGGTATCGATCAACGATAACGCGCTGTCACAGCACATACTGGTACATACCGGCTCTTCAAATTAATAATTTATTTTGCCATTCTATGATGTCATTTTTTTTGTTTTCTTTTGTTTTGAAATCAGTCTATGCTTCTCAAGAGAATGCCTTTCAATGTTACGTGTGTAAGACCGGCAAAGGTATTGAATGTAACAACGGCACCTGTGTTGATGAATGTAACGACGCGAATGATATCGACGACTGTCCCTCTTCATCGGTAAGTACGTGAACGTCTAATTAATATTTAGTTCGTAATAATTAGTGTGTCGCTATAAGTCGCGACGTTCGTACTATTCGTTAATTTGTAGACGGTCATTCAATGTTGAAGGGCGGCAGTCGTCGCGCTGCGCATGTGCGACACTTGTGTTGATAAGCATTGATTTTCCTACAATCCAATGCGCTCTTCTAATGAAAATCAAAAGTATGAGGTTTGACCTGGGCGCGACTTATACTAATTACCGCCGGTAACTCCTTCGATTCCTTTCAATTACCTACAAACATCAATTAAATATTGTACTCGTTGATTTACGCAACATTCAAAGTCGCCATCTTTGTTTACATGAGACCCATATATCTCGCGCATGCGTGGTGCGACGACTACCGCCCTTTAAATATTTACGAAAACATGTAATTTTCTAATATTGATATTTGACACAACATGTAAAGTATCAATGTGGATTATGATTTATCGTTAATTTAAAACGCTGCTTTTGCAGCACACTATTCGTTCCACGAAAAACAAAAAATACTAATACGCTTGTGTAGTGACTGAATATTTTGAATTACAATGTTTTTGTTTTTTTCTAGAGCTCATAATTTAGCATTGTAATTAATCATCTAACAGTATGTGGTCATAACTCTTATTCATGACCATTAAGGTCACATATTCCGGTACTATTTTTGACTCCTTAAAGGTCACATATCCGGTACTATTTGACCCCTAAAGATCACATATTCCGGTACTTATTTTGACCCTAAAGGTTACATATTCCGGTACTTATTTTGACCCTAAAGGTCACATATTCCGCTACTTATTTTGACACTAAAGGTCACATACTCTGGTATTTATTTTGACCCCTAAGGGTCACATATTCCGGTACTTATTTTGACCCTGAAGCTCACATATTCCGGTACTTATTTTGACCCCTAAAGGTCACATATTCCGGTACTTATTTTGACCCCTAAAGGTCACATATTCCGGTACTTATTTTGACCCCTAAAGGTTACACATTCCGGTACTTATTTTGACCCTAAAGGTCACATATTCCGCTACTTATTTTGACGCCTAAAGGTCACATACTCTGGTATTTATTTTGACCCCTAAGGGTCACATATTCCGGTACTTATTTTGACCCTGAAGGTCACATATTCCGATACTTATTTTGACCCTAAAGTTCACATATTCCGGTACTTATTTTGACCTCTAAAGGTCACATACTCTGGTATTTATTTTGACTCCTAAGGGTCACATATTCCGGAACTAATTTTGACCCCTGAGGGTCACATATTCCGGTACTTATTTTGACCCCTAAAGGTTACATTTCTGGTACTTATTTTGACCCTAAAGGTCACATATTCTGATACTTATTTTGACCCCTAAAGGTCACATAATCCAGTACTTATTTTGACCACTAAAGGTTACATATTCTGGTACTTATTTTGACCCTAAAGGTCACATATTCCGGTACTTATTTTGACCCCTAAAGGTCACATTTCTGGTACTTATTTTGACCCCTAAAGGTTACATTTCTGGTACTTATTTTGACCCTAAAGGTCACATATTCTGATACTTATTTTGACCCCTAAAGGTCACATAATCCAGTACTTATTTTGACCACTAAAGGTTACATATTCTGGTACTTATTTTGACCCTAAAGGTCACATATTCTGGTACTTATTTTGACGCTAAAGGTCACATATTCTGGTACTTATTTTGACCACTAAAGTTCACATATTCCGTTACTTATTTTGACCCCTAAAGGTCACATACTCTGGTACTCATTTTGACCCCTAAAGGTCACATATTCTGGTACTAATTTTGACCCCTAAGGGTCACATATTCTGGTGCTCATTTTGACCACTAAAGGTCACATATTCTGGCACTCATTTTGACCACTTAAGGTCACATATTCCGTTACTTATTTTGACTCGTAAAGGTCACATATTCCGTTACTTATTTTGACTCCTAAAGGTCACATATTCTGGTACTCATTTTGACCCTAAAGGTCACGTATTCTGGTGCTCATTTTGACCCTAAAGGTCACATATTAAGGTACTCATTTTAACCACTAACGGACACATATTCTGGTACTTATTTTGACCCTAAAGGTCACATATTAAAGTACTTATTTTGACCCCTGAAAGTCACATATTCTGGTAGTTATCTTGACCCCTAAAGGTCACATATTCTGGTACTTATTTTGACCCTAAAGGTCACATATTCTGGTACTCATTTTGACCCTAAAGGTCACATATTCTGGTGCTCATTTTGACCCTAAAGGTCACATATTAAGGTACTCATTTTAACCACTAACGGACACATATTCTGGTACTTATTTTGACCCTAAAGGTCACATATTCTGGTAGTTATTTTGACCCCTAAATGTCACATATTCTGGTACTTATTTTGACCACTAAAGGTCACATATTCTGGTACTTATTTTGACCCTAGAGGTCACATATAAAGGTACTTATTTTGACCACTAAAGGTCACATATTCTGATATTTATTGTTACCTCTTCAAAGTCACATATTCTGATATTTATTGTTACCTCTTCAAGGTCACATATTCTGATATTTATTGTTACCTCTTCAAGGTCACATATTCTGATATTTATTGTTACCTCTTCAAGGTCACATATTCTGATATATCAAGGTCACATATTCTGATATATCATTGTTTAAAGAGAATTTTATGATCAACGATGCTCCGATTTTTTGTATTATAACTACTCAGCTGTTCGAGGGAATTGTTAATAATATTAATTCTAAAACTAGTCCGAATCAGAAATTTTCCCCTGCACATTTTAGAAAAAATCATTTAATTTAGCTAGTATGTCTCTCTAAAAAAACGTTTTGTGCTGAAAACGTGCTCAATATAGGTATATCGACCCTTTAAATGTGTTAATATCTTATAACAAATTATATGACCCTAGAAGTTCAAGCATGTCCTAAGTGGCACGTGCAAATACGTCACACACGCTTGCGCAGCTAACACGTAATTGTTATAATTTTCTAGCCATGGTGTGAAATCGAGGTCAAGAATCACGGTGGTGACTTGTACATGAAAAAACGATGCACCCAGGAAGAGGTGAGATACCATACCATACAAAACAATACCATACAAAACAATACCATACAAAACAATACCATACAAAACAATATACTGTATACAATAAACAATTACGTTACAATGTATTATGTTACATTCGACAAAATATGTGTACATGTTAGATAATTTTTAAAAATGCAAAATGGATGATAACATGTAACTTTAAATATTTTTGTTTAATACTCTATATCGATGACGTCATTGGGCATGATTTACCATGACATGAAAACACTATTCTTGTATCATACATCAGAGTACTCGTTTGACGAAACATTGACATTCTCTAATGCGCATGTGCACTGTTTTTTTATACGTACAATAACAATCACTGCACATGCGTATTAGTGGTGTTGATTTTTCATCTAACAAATACTTGTGCGTGTTCTGCAAACGAAACATTTTTATGTTATGATAAATCATATTTTGATTTTGTCTAAAGTGAGGAATATGGAACACAGATGCATGTTTTCGTTCATATTGCATCTTTAAAATACTTTCTTGAACATTCCACGTAAATACATGGGTTACAATAACTTCCAATATGCCTTTCGCGGGTATCAGTGTCACGTGGTATTTTTGTCCGAGTAAGTTTTCTAATCGGCCATTTTATTCAGCCTCGTTCGTTACCAATTGTGTAATAATCACAAAACGGTTCTCAAATATATATATCTTGCACATCACCTAGTAACAATACTAACCGTGTTTATTTCGCGGGAACATGCTCGATTTTGAACACTGAAGAAATTGGTTGATCATTCCTATGTTGAAAAATGGAGAATGCTAACGCGTCATCAAGCAAATACTAATCTATTTTATTGCACACCCAACATGTTTAGCTCATGACAAATCATAATTCAATACGCAGTATCAACAACAGTAAAAATGACGAATTCTCATCTATATTGCAGCTTTAAAAGAAAATTCTTTGTGCAATATTCGGGAGTAAATTTCATACGGCCAATGTGGTATATAACCAAGGTTCGATCCGACAGCGCCGTACCTTCGAACAAGTAATTAGAGACCGAGAACGGGATATTGTTGGTGTAGATTCATTCTTGTAACGGCTAGAGTCTGCCTCGCTTCACCCTCATAACTAATCGTTTGTCCCTTGTTTACCTTATAGGCGTGTCTGAACCAGCAGGGCAAGAATCCCGACGACTGTACGGATGATGATAACCCGGTTGTAGCGAACGGATGTACGTTCTGCTGTAACGAGACCCTCTGCAACTACAACCTCACAGTGGCTTTACGGGCAGGGGCAAATTCTGTACATATTGCCGGAAGTGTCACGTTCTTTGGATTCTTGTCCTACATAATATTGCCCAAGTTTTGAAGCAAGCGAGATCGCGTGTAGTGAATATAATGGGATATTCACCGAGGGCGCGTGGACAGTGGAATTTGTTTTAGTTAATTAGCTAAGCAAGCAAGTTGTAGCGATTTTGTTATTTTTGATTCTCATGTTCCATTGTTAACGATTGAATATTTGTTGATGAATACATTATATTATGTTTTATCCTAAAATCAACAAATTATTCTTGTAGTGTTCGTTTTATGGTACAATATCATTCCGCATTTGGCACGTAGGCTGATTGATGTAGGATGTATGTTTGGGTATTTTTGAATTTGTTTTGAATATTCGTTTTTGATATTGTATTTTAAAAAAAACCTATATAATCTGATTTATTATTATTGATAACAAGCATAGTAATGTTCATTTCATGGAATACTGATAACGTATACTGGCTGACTATGTATTAACATTGACGTAGATTGATGTAGTGACGTTTTCATTATTTTATTGACGTAAGACTTCCATGTTTGCTGCTCAAACTGTTTTTTTTTATTCTGCGATAATCATGTTGAAATATAGTATCAAAGACAATTATTTAAGTGTTCTCAAAATACCAACACCCTGATTTAGAAAGCCTATTTTCAAATATTACACTGTATTGATCATGATAGTTGTCGTTCACAGTTGCACGTTCCAAACGTATAATGGTGTTAATCTATTTTTTTATTCAGTTTAAAATGGTAGATATATTTTAAATATAACTATTATCTGTGATACGTGATCTCAGTGTATTGGACGTGTAAGAAAGAGGCTAGCTTCATGTTAGCGGATTTATTGGTCGTTTAAGCTTTCTTAAAGGCTGATTTAGCTTACTATCAAAACCGCATTAGCTCACTTTTAAAACCATCATTAAAAATTGTGTAATTTGTTACGGCAAAACCATGATACTGAAAACTTGGTAGTCAAGTTGCGCTCGAGCTATGTATTTACCAGTTAGTACGTTTCGCAGCTTATAATCAAATCAGTGGTTGCAAGAAATGAAGATGTATACGGGGGCAATAACAAACAAAATGACTACCAGTCAGCCATATTTCTCAACCATTAAAATAAAACAATATGTACATCGGTAACACATTATGCATGATGACCATGGAAGTTTGATAGCAGCCAGTGTGTTTGCCCTCAGGCTCCCGTCCACTTAGTTTGTGGCATACGCGAACAGTCACTTTAATTTGGTTTTTAACTCTGCCTGTCGATCATTGGTCATTACATCAATCAATACGTCATCGGTATACTATAATTATACAATATATATGGCAACCTCATCACGTATGGCTACTCGTTACAATTGTAGTGTGAACCCGTTAACGATCGTGGTGATTTGAAAACAGTTTTGTCGTAGACTGACAAGCCATATTCACACTGATAATACACACCCAGTCGTTAAGGTGAAGGTCCACCGCTGGCGTGTAATCACAGATTCTGTATAGACTCACTGCTGTGGTGTTTAATGTGTTGTCGCTTCACAAGGCGAACACAGAGAGGCTTTTGAAAGGATTATTGTCACAGTTGTCGCCCATTGAACAAAGCATATGCTTGTCAGGATTTGAAAGAATGTTGTCAGCAAAGGTATAGACTAGAAAAATGAAGTTCGTCGACCTATTTTCAATCACGGACAAATACTTCAACGTGCTGTTGATGAGAAGTGAATCTATGCTTTACAATGTTTCTGAATAGAAGACCTCTTTAAGTCTATACATGTATCACCAGACACAATGACCATCAGACCACACCCTGGAATTATACTTGAATGTTGTCAGTAAATGTGAACACGACAGGAATGATTAATACGCATTGTGGGAAATAACATTCATGTTGTCATGGTTACATAAAATAGTTGTCGTAGTAGTAGGTGCATTGGTCTTTTATTAGGAACGATCTCAAATCGTGTCTGAACCTAAATTAGTATACTACCATCGTTTATTGGGAGAGGTAGAATTAGTAAACTTGATTTTTTCAATTAGTGATATGTGACACCATAATGTACGACATCACACTCTAAATAGAACCTATCAAAGTAACAAAACGACAACATGCTGTTCTCTTAGCTGCTACTGAGTATGGCGAATCACTTCGAAGTTTCGCGAGCACGCCACCAGCGACAAACTCAGTCACTGTTTGGAGATTAGCACGCACATTTTTTGATTATTATTTTTCTGTGCGAGTATCTTTTTTGCATAACAAGCGAAACGAGGCTTGGTGAACGTTTTCACCATTCGTAGCGTACAACTCTCAGGATTTCGGTAATATAGATCCGCCCCTGGGATACGTGCACACGAGTTCGTTTACATTTTGTTTATTCAAACATATCGATACACGTGTATGGGTGACCTAGATAGTGACAATACTAACACTTTCATCACCAGGATACAGGTAACATTGAGTGATTAACACAACCTATTGACCTCTGACACATTGATCAATTATTTGGATCTATTGGCCTGAGATTGAGAACCTCGCAAGTAAATAACAAAACCTGGTAATATAGGTTACCACTATCACATCTCATTAGAGTGATACAAAATACTTAAGATATTATTATTATAAATTGTGGGATCTGCTTGGGTGATGTCGAGAACTTTGTTTCTCATCTATATCGACGTTAACATTCTGCGCGTTGTGCCAGTATAGAAGAAGAGTGATTCCAAAATGGTTCGCCCCGCATACAAATTAAGCAATGAAGTCACTATCTTGTTTAGCTACATGGCGAAACCAACTATGTAGTACGCCACCAGTGAAAAGTTTGTTTTTGTGCCACTCGAATTAAGTTTGGTAAACAATCTGATACACCGTTCCTATAAATCGCGCCCTCTCATGATGGATCGTTTCCGTGACACCAGTATAGACGAAGAGTGGTTCAAAAATGTTCACCCGAATAAAAGTTAAAAAGGTGCACTGACTGTCCTATATTGGGGACGAAACTAGTAGTAAGCTTGACTTTTTCACTTACTAATGTGTGACACCGTAATGTATGGAATCGCACTCTAAATCGAACCTATCAAAGTAAAAACACAACAGTTTATAATGAAGCATGTCATTCGCCAAGTATCCACTGAGTTTTGCGAATCAGTTCGGGGCTTCGCGGGCATGCCACCAGCGACACACTCAGTCAGTGCGCGGAAAATAGCACGGAAACGGATCGTTGTTGTTTTTTCTTTGCGAGACTCATTTCGGCAAAACAAGGCTTGGTGAAAAGTTTCCACCATTCGTAGCATACAAGTTTTCGGCAATACGAACATGTCATGTCACATCACATCACGACTTTGTTATTAAAAAACGCATCTTTAAAAAAGCTCAACGGTTTAATTTAAAAGTAATAAAAGTATAATCTAGACACCTAAGCTGAATCTAGCATCTGTGACTATTCCGTCTTGATTGTGTTGACATAATCCACTGAGATCATGCCACCTTATGATGTCAATGTGATAGAAAAATGAAAACTCGTCCAGAAGATAATTAATTGCATGTACACTAGACGTTTGCAGCATTCACTGTCACGTCGAGACATCGTGTCCGAGTATGTGGTCGAATTCGCCAATTGTTATTTGCAATTCGTTGAAAGTCTTGTCACTAAAGTTGTTCTTTGGATACAAAACTAAGACGTCACGATCTGGCTGGTAAATGTTAAATTCGCCATATTCCGCAAATATATGTTTTGTTGTGGTCGTATGATGGCGCAATTTTGGTATGCGAGAATTTTGAACCACAGGAGCGACCATATGCTTGGAACGAGCATTCAATTTGTAATCAAACAAAATATCATGCATTCCTGAAATAAATATGTTATTAGAGCAACGGTCTAAGGAATGTACCAAAATAATATTAGGGGCGGGTGGTAGATTTGTAAACGATATAATCTGGTTATAAAAACAGAAATTACAGATAAAAAATACCCCAAACACATTTGACAGAAAAGCGTACACGTGCTTTTACAACAACATACCATCATCAAAAACAATCTGGTTGAAGACTTAGTAAAAGTGAAAAGTAATTTGCACAGTTTACTATATCGTCAAGTTGTTGAACGCGCGTACGTGCTAATGAATTCGTTTGCATCTCGTTTATACAAACATATCGATACACGTGTATGGGTTACCTAGTGCGGTGATACTGACATTACTAAGACTTTCATCACCAGGTTTAGTGACTAATACAACCTATTGACCTCTGACACAGTGATCAATCATTGGAACTGTTGGTCTGAGATTGAGAACCACGCAAGTAAATAACAACTTGAAAACCTGGTAATATAGGTCACCACTATCACATCTCATTAGAGTGAAAACAAAATACTTTATTATAAATTGTGAGAACTGCTTGGGTGATGTCGAGAACTTTGTTTCTCAGCATTTCGACGTTAACATTTTGCTTGTTGTGTCAGTATAGAAGAAGAGTGATTCCAAAATGGTTCGCCCCGCATACAAGTTAAGCAATGAAGTCACTATCTTGTTTAGCTACATGGCGAAACCAACTATGTAGTACGCCACCAGTGAAAAGTTTGTTTTTGTGCCACTCGAATTAAGTTTGGTAAACAATCTGATACACCGTTCCTATAAATCGCGCCCTCTCATGATGGATCGTTTCCGTGACGTCAAAATGACGTATTGGCTGAAGACAATGTCGTTCAAATCGGTCATTGTGTATGGTTGTGTAGTCTTACATGAACTTGAATATAATAACATCTTTAAAAAACATAACACTATTGCTGGAAGACTACAGATTGAAACGATACTCTCAATTAGAATGGACTTTGTGTCACCAATTTGAGTCATAGAGTCGCTTTATCACTAGAGGGTGCGATTTATGAGAAAGCTACTAGTATATTGTATTAGCTGATTGTTTCGGTATGTGCAATCACAATCGATGTACATGCATACACTTCTGTGTTTTTTTTATTGAGGAAACATTATTTTGTTCAAATCAAAATCTTATATGATTGTCAATATTCAGTATCAAACAACAAATCATTACGGTATTAGAAAATACAGCTATCAACCAGATGAAGTAACATCAGGATTACGTCAACAGTGGTTCAGTAAAATTTAATTCAACATTAGCAACGTAATTCCAATGTTCATAACCAATTATATACAAGAACACGCCGCCAAAAGGTCTTATGACAATATTCAACACAGTGGTGTATGAATCTTGAGACATGCAGTTAGACCGGTAAAGTTCCGAAATGATTGCTGTACAGAATCGCACTGACCATATACAAGTCGTCATTAGAAATACGAAGTAGCAGGAGATCACAGTAAACTCAGTGAAATAGGTATGTATGTACCTCAAGGGAATCTTGCTATCACAGAACACCTGCTGTTTTACTGGCAGTGGTCACATGTCATGGAAGTTCTCGGGTAAAAGAATGTACTGTAAACGCATTAATTCTTCACTGGTTTTTCATTTCGATAAATTCGCTGATAATTAAATCCGCTGAATTAAATCCGCATGAACATGTAATTTAACAATATAACTCATTGTTTTTATGACAAGTTGGTGAACTTCAAAACAGAGAAATTAAATGCAAGTGAAAATATATGGTTTTACAGAAAGTGGTTGTGTAGTCATTTGACATCTAGAATAAAGCAAAATCTTTCCAAAAAAAACAACATCCGTGATAGCGTGGAGATAAAAGCCTAAAAAATGTTTTTAATTTCAGACTTAGTTTACCAAAAATCCAACTTCAACTCCATGGACTTCTGACATTATTAGAAAGATCACTCCTCAGTTTTGCCCTATCTGTAGAGATGGGAGATGGTTAGAATTGGGAAAGATATGCACAAGATAGACATAATTGAGTGATACATGTTTGGGGAACATCAGTTGTAACTATTTTTTACATATCTGATTTGTTTCCACCAGCACACACCAATCCAGTTGTTATTTCATCCTTTTTACCACCAAATTCACAAAATAGTCCTGTTTATAGTCTGCACTTTCCTTCATAGGATTGGGACAAAAATAGCGGTGAAAAGGTCATGCAGCAGTATATATTAGAGGGAATACGAGACAATTTCAAAAATAAGCTGCCAAATCAGAAACTTCTTTTCCTTTATATTACAGTGCAATGGGAGGGGGAAGGCAAGCTGACAAAAGATCTTGAAATAAAATGTCAGCAGTTGTGGTACAGATACTGGAAGACATTTATAGTGTTCCTACCTCAAGTTTATTGTAAAATATTTATGAGCAGAAAGAAAAAATACATCTCTCATTTCAAAAGAATTCAGTTATTTAGAAAAAATGTGTTTTTAAAAATTGATTGTACATTTGTCAATAAATGACATTTTTTATTTCCCACCCGTAAAACCCATAAAATAACCGCCGTGTAAACATGTTGTGCTATAGTCCAGCCATGACAAATTCTGTAAATATGCAACCATTCAGAGGAAACAGTTGAAATAAAAACATAACACTAACAAAATTATATGCATATCACTTAAGCCATCATTTAGGATATTACCGTTATTGAAAATACCGCCCTCTACAGACATGATATCAAATATATCAATACAACTATAGAGGGCACTACAACACAAAGGAAAACAAAATCGGGAATTCACTAAGTAGATGCAAATTAGATAAAACAGAATTCATAATTCGTCTGTGATTAAGTTTCTTTCAAATATAGATTAGCATACAACTGAAAAAATATTCATACTCTAGGGCCATCCTATTTATAGTTTATACATTATTCAGGTTCTGCCTTATATATTCTTTATAAATTACTTGGCTGAAAATTAAAAATAGAAACTTTTTTTATTTTTAAAAGTTATTGCACATGAGTGAAAACTGAAGATTAAATTGTTTATTGAAATGATTATTTGTTTTCATTTATAGAATATAATTTTTGGCGATGCCATTTTACCATTTATTTCTACAATTTCTTAACAACATTCAGTAAAAGTACTCGCTCAGAAACTCATGGCATATGGTAATCCCACAATGCATCTCACCCATTTACATGATTTCATGATGATTGTTAAACACAAAAAAGGATAACATCACTTGTGCAAGGAATGATGACATCACTTGCACTGAACCACAAGGAATGGTGACATCACTTGCACTGAACCACAAGGAATGATAACATCACTTATACAAGGAATGATGACATCACTTGCACTGAACCACAAAGAATGATTACATCACTTGTACAGGGAATGATGACATCACTCGCACTGAACCACAAAGAATGATGACATCACATGTCTGAGAGTGATAATCACAGTCATATACAAATAAAGTTGACTTGTATGATTTTTTTTTTCATTCCCCTGATTCAACGACACTGCTGGGATTATAAGGATACATTGAAATTAAGTATTTGCATCAAAAACTTCATCAACTATAACTGATATACCATGCCGATATTGTTAATTCAATAGTACGAGTCTGGACCTAATTAAGTATTTCAATGTCCAATTCTTGCTGTTGAATTTACATAGTTTGGCTAATGGCAATAGTGACAATCTGTCTCATGTATTTTTTAATTAGAAGAAGGGTTTGGAGTTTGTATAAACAATGTTGTTTACACAATAGATCGAATGAAACCTATATAACACATGAAATGCTGCAATTGCCAATAATGGTAATAATAAATCCTCATATCACTTCATTATACCAACCAAAACCGATGAAACATTTGTAAATAGAAAATTAGCGACAGAATTTTCATATTTTATTTGAATTAACAAAAATCGTCAAGCCAATGATGTTGTGTAAGGTTTATTTTTTGAATCATGCGAAATAAGCAGTCACAGCAACATAATAAACAATCTACCAGCCCAAAGAATAAAACGGAAATAAATTAAATTTAAATAAAAAACACAAAAAAACAGCTCTGCCGTTAATTATACACATGATTCTATCCTTACAATTAAAATAATTTAGTTTAGTTTACAGACTAAAAAGTAATTTCAAATATTTCCATTGTATTGGAGGAAATAATTGGAAGACTATGTTACATTTACAGCACCAAAGTTCGTCAAACTATTGTAGTATATTCAGCAACACATTCGTATCGAAGTTGCATATGGATGGGAAAAAAGTTTAATTGTTAGTGCTTACATTTCAGTAAATGGCTAAGCTTTATTAATTGGTGATGTTGTTTCCATTAGCTGTACTTTGTTCATCATGTTCCACAAGATTATGCGCCTGTGGTGTTTCTCTTATAGGAAACAACGTATCTCTTTCAAATATTGTGTCTTCATCTGTACTTTGACTAGACGCAGATGCACTCATTGGCAGTGAAACTGTCAAATTTGTTTCATTTTCTATTGTAATATTCTCACTGTTTGTTCCAAGTGAATAATTCAACTCAATTTCTTCTGGTGATAGATGCAAAGTTTCTAAAGGTATCCCATCAATAAATGGTGGCACATTATCCAAAGTGTCTTCCTCACTTCTCACTGGTTGATATAAAGGAGTTTGTTCAGTTTGTTCTGATGATCTGGACATCTCTTCTTTGTCTTCTTTGTTAAAAAATGCTTGTTCCACGGTGTAATAAACAGACATAAAGAGAGCAAATCCCCCAATCAAGCACAATACCTGAAAAGAATACACAGGTTATTGTAATTACAGCAAAGTTAAAGCACGTGAGTCATCCCCTGCGCATGCGTCAAACCTACAGCACTGAATAAAACATGGTACCAAGAAAATATGTCTGCTGTTGGATTTGTTCTTAGATTGAGGGAATCGTCACCTGCACATACGTCAAATGGCCATAGCGTGTCATTGTTTACAAACACGTGTCTACCCATGAGCCTTTGCGTTTTAACGTGTGTTATCGTCGCTTGGGACTCATTTCCCGTGTGTGCGCAGATGACCCTCCCACTTTAAAGGAGAGCAAAATTCAAAGAGTCAAGCATACAACTGATCACAGCCGAGAAATTCAAAGCATTTGATAATTTAATAAAAATTTGTGACTTTCTCAAAGATCCACAAATTAAAACAACTTTGTCTTTTAAAAAAATAACATGTATTTTCCTTCAAAGTAATTGATGTAACAAAACTTAATAAATGTCACAAATTCCACAATGACATATCAAGATTAAAATGATAAAAGTGGTTGCTCTGGAAAAGAAGCAATATGGAAGTTTTTTAAGGGTGTTAGTAAAATTAGACTCTTTACGCAATTACTTCAGGTAATGCATCACATGTGATATAGAATATGGTGCTGCAAAATGGTTTTACCTTAAGTGTTCTTGGCGACGTAAGTGTTGACTCGTCATAAGCCACAGGGGATGGAGGAGGACAGGGACGGGTTTCATTTAAATGGATGTAGTCACCTGACATAGCATCTTCAACCTCGCTGCAAACAAAACAACAATTATCATTATTATCTGCTGGGAATTATAAGTACAGTCATCCGAGTCAGTAATGCGGTTATCATATTGTATGCAACAATATTGTTCGAAACGTGGTGTGATCCAGTAGCACCTGAGTGCATACTTTATGGGATTATGTGATAAACTCATTATTATGCATGTTTTTTCTGCTTAAAGTGAAACAACACCAAAAAGTTTGTTTGATCTTTGTCTGCCAAGATTCTCTTTCTTTCACCCACATGATTACCAGCGCATTCCCTGAAAGCGGTCAAATGTGTAAATGTAAATTTGGTGTGAACTTTTGGTTTCACTTCTGAACATCAGCGTTTTTATGGAATGCGAAAATCCTATTGCAGCTATTACTAGATGTATAATAACAAGCAGCCTATCGGCTGAGATAGCTCCGCTGTTAGCAATGCACATTTCAATTAAAGAACTGAAGACATCATTAGAAAATGAACAATATGAATAGTATCAAAGCAATCGGACTTACAGTCGAAAATATCACTTTTTAACAAAAATGACAAAAATATTCACCAAAATTAGAGAATTGAAGATATCATCACGAAATGAACAAATCTGAGAGAGGTCCACATGTAGTACCTATATATGTAATATCAAAGCAATCAGACTTGCGGTTTTTAACAAGAAGTCGAAAATATCACTTTTTACCAAAAATGACAAAAATATTCACCAAAAATAGAGAATTGAAGATATCATCACGAAATGAACAAATCTGAGAGAGGTCCACATGTAGTACCTATATATGTATATCAAAGCAATTGAACTATTGGTTTTTAACAAGAAGTCGAAAATATCACTTTTTACCAAAAATTACAAAAATATTCACCAAAATTAGAGAATTGAAGATATCATCACGAAATGAACAAATCTGAGAGAGGTCCACATGTAGTACCTATATATGTAATATCAAAGCAATCAGACTTGCGGTTTTTAACAAGAAGTCGAAAATATCACTTTTTACCAAAAATGACAAAAATATTCACCAAAAATAGAGAATTGAAGATATCATCACGAAATGAACAAATCTGAGAGAGGTCCACATGTAGTACCTATATATGTAGTATCAAAGCAATTGCACTTGCGGTTTTTAACAAGAAGTCGAAAATATCACTTTTTACCAAAAATTCCAAAAATATTCACCAAAATTAGAGAATTAAAGATATCATTACAAAATGAACAAATCTGAGAGAGGTCCACATGTAGTACCTATATATGTAATATCAAAACATTTGCACTTGCGGTTTTTAACAAGAAGTCGAAAATATCACTTTTTACCAAAAATTACAAATATATTCACCAAAATTAGAGAATTGAAGATATCAACATGAAATGAACAAACCTAAGAGAGGTCTACCCAAGGTACATATACACCAAGTATCAAAGCATTCTGGCTTGTAGTTTTCAAGAAGAAGTCGAAAAAGTAAAACATTGACACGGACGCCGACGACGGACAATCACTCATATGATAAGCTCCGCTCGACAAAGTCGACAGCGGAGCTAAAAAGCCAACATGGTTTCTTTTTAAGGCCTTGTAAAAATCTAAAATATACAAGTCATGACACAACACCACATTGTTTGATAGTAAACATGACCACTATTCAGCCATCTTGAATTAGATCATCAAACAAACATATATACATATGTCAAATATAATGTATATGTTAAGTTTGAACATGATCGGTCAAGGCGTATAAGAGATATGGCTACAGTAAGTCACCGACTTACAACTGATTAACTGCACTTGCCACTACACACAGTTCCTTTGAACGAGAAATGGTTGACTACATAATTTACAATGAGATGAATGTATTATTGGTTACTGCATGCTAGTGTACTTTGTGTTTTTTTTTAATTTAGTTGAATGGTTGTAAAATTGGTTAAATCATACTCCTTCTATCCACAGGGATAGCGAGACTGCTGTGGTTTTGCATAGTTTTTTGCATAGTCATCTGTCAGTGTACACGGTAGCAATGGTATACAGACTGGACCCTAACACCAATGCTGCCATGTACAGACGTAGCCTAGAATCAATCCAGCTCAAAACAGCGCAAAACCATGGCTAGTTATATTGTAGATGATTGAGAGAGAAACGAATACTCAATATTTCCACCTGGAGTAATAGAAATAAATACAAATGGGGTAAAAGTTTATTTTGCTACTCAAAGGATCAGAAGTCTAAGTGTTTTGATACTGCAGAGTGAAACACAGATAAAACGGAATTTCAATAAAGTTGTCGTGCCATCAGTTGGTTTTCATGTTAGATTGGGAGATGGATTTCTAGCTCATGGAGACCAAATTGGAATGGTGGAATTCAAAACTTGTCTATTGAGTATAGAAAGGAACACCAAAATAAGCACTTACCAGCCCATACTTCTCCAAACTGACCAGCACCAAGTTTTTTCTGCAATTTCAATGACTCTCTTGGGATTTCCCATTGATCTTTACCTAAACCCCTGGTATTAGGATTGACTTTGGGGCATGCTTTGGAAAGCTTTTCACATAATCCATCAGGTTGCACTGTTTGTGATAGAAGAACATCAGAATTTAATATATACGAGTATGTATGTATGAATGAATGATTGAATGAATGAATGAATGAATGAATGAATGAATGAAGGCTAACTGTGAAAATAAACCTATAGCTATCAAGTTTAAGAATTCTCAAATGTAACAGCTTTATTCAAGACATAGTTTAGTTTAATGTGGAAACTATAAATGTTTCAAGTAGACAAGAATGGCTCGACAATCAGGATTTGAATCCCTGTCATTATTTTTACTGCAGATTACACAGCACCCTCTATAGTCTATAGTTAAAATGATTGTTATGCTGAGAAAGGGCAGTATTCAGACTGACTGGGGGGGATGGGGGTTGGAATGTTTTAACTTTTCGAAATATAACTACATTCATGAATTAACTTTGTAGTTGATATCTGTTTAACTGTATTTGTGGTAGGTTGCCTAGAATTACATTTCTGCATTTTAATGAGGTCCATGACATATTTTTATAAAACAATGTTTAAAATAATGAACTTGTCTATTAAATTAATAAAAATCTATTAAAGAAAATATGAATATGTGAGCGAGAAAAAACAACGAACAACGAGCACCAGCATACCACCGTGATAAGGTTCATAGCAAGTTTGTCACAACTTTTTTGTTGTACTGCTATGAAATAAAGAGACATAGTCGCATCGTCACATACGAATATCGCTCATTCTATAAGCCCATGTTTCGTGCTAATAATATTATGTCATTATGAGCAAACCGCAAAGTGTGCAGTTGTCTGCAAAGTGTATAGTTGTCTGCAAAGTGTATACTTGTCCTGCCTGAGTGCATATTTTGCAGTATTCTCATGACAACCTTATTATCATACTTTTTTCTGCAAAATCAATAAAAATAAATTCTGATATTTCCACTTTTCCTTCACTCCAAAAAATTTACAGTAAGTAAATACAGTTGGAAGAGCTAACTAAAAAAAAAATTGGCTTTGATTTTGAGCACTGACACCTACATGATTGTCATTTTGTATGACTGAGTTGAAACCCAGAAAAACATTCTTCTACAAATTTTACAAAATATATTAATTATAGTTTATACACAATGTTAGGATATTAAAAAGTGATCATACTTGCGTAATGGTCGACAAGCTTAGAAACTGATGGAAATTGAGCCCGTGCAGTGATAAAATAGCCAGCATTCTGATCAAGTTTTTTTATTTTGTATTGCTTCACACTATGATCACCTTTCACTCTGTCATAGTACAGAACAGAAAGGGCATACGAGCCTGTGGAGAAGAAAAACAGATTATTAATAAAAAATCTGAAAATGACATTGAGGAAATCTGCAAATATATATCGTATTGGCTTCATTTGTAGTTTATGCACTTATGTACATAGCAGAGGTATGTCTATGGTCAAAATAAGTCATGTTTTAATAATCCGGTAAACAATAAATGAAACTGTTAGCTAATATGTGCTCCTACATGTAGCTGATGCCCTTGAAATAGCGCAGATACAGTAATGTACATATCCGGTACTGTAAAATACTTTAAATTTTGCTTGCGATTAATTTTCGCTATTTTTGCTGAAGGAATAATTCGGTGAAAATAAAATCCAGCAAATGTACCTTTTTTTCCTATATTTAACATTCAACTCGTCAAAAGTCAGTGAAAATAAATCCTAGCTGAAATAAAGTATTTTACAGTATTGAAAAAATGTTGTATATTGACTATGAATGGAAATTACGGTATCAGTTTTGGGGTATTTTCTCTATTTGCATTGCATATGTTTATGTCAAAGTCTTGGATGTGTTTGTATTGGTCCAATTTTATGAAATTTTTTGTATTTGTGTGTATTTTTAGCACTTGATTCACAAATAAATATTATTTTTTTGTTATGTATTTATGTTTAATACAGTTTTAAATGTGTCATCTTTTGTTACGTAAACTTTAGTGGCAGATTAAGCAATGTAATCTTTCCCCTCACTACCAGTTGTATAGCAACCAGCTTGTTTATTGGTATAGACAATTTCAAGCCAATGCCAAGACAGGAAAGATCATCGGCGCCAGTGCTTGATTGTTTTTAAGCTAAACGTGTGATTATCTTAGCTAGCGTGGCTAACACCTTGGCACTATATATTGCGGCATTACAGATTGAGGGTATTGGCTAGATAGTTGACAAAAAGCCAAAATTTTTTTTTTTCCGATTGGAGCTAGATCATTTTTTTTCTTAATGCAGAGTGTTGTGTTGAATATAATGCAAATTGTTTGCATCCTGAATGATAAGACTTGGTTTCATAAACTGTTTATGCAAATTAACCTGTGGTTTAGAACAGGAACTTATCTGGGTATTTTGCAGTTCTGTAAATGCTTATACCAAAAACCACCACTCGTTATATTATGTAACTTATAGTTTTTATAGCCTCCTGAATTCTGTTATGTATATTCATGTTTTTATTCCTCGTGCACTACACATCTTTTTTTTGTTTGTTATTTTTATCACAATTTTAGAGACAATTAAAGAATAATTCAGTTTTCCAATTATAATGTATCCTACCTGGTGTTGACTCACTGTCTCGTACAATAAAACAACCGCTAGACAATCCTGGCTGTAATAATTTTTTCTCTGCATCTTTGTGACTTATTTTACCAAAATACCAACTGAAAGGACATAAACACAAACATGCAAGTGATTTAACATCAACACTTGAAGAGAAAAGATGGTCTTTTAATAAATGAGTATTATGTTGAATTCTGAAAATAATTGCTTTTTGTTGTGAAAGCAGCATGCTTGCTAGCCAAATGATTCATGGTGATATAAAAAACTATAAAACCAGACAAGGAAAAAATCTTGTTCATCGGACCTGCAGGTACCTGATTTTTTTTGTTTTGATTTTAATGCTAAATCAAAGAAAGCTTAGAAAGAACTCCCATGTGCTGAGAGTATTGGAGACACATTAAATATAATTCGAAATTACTTAGCTGAAAACTAATTATGCAAATCAGAAAATTAATATGAAAACGGGGACTTATGTTTTGACCTCCGTGTGTCCGTGCGTGCGTGCGTGCGTGTGTGCATGCGTTCGGACCTGTATCTTAGAAATGCCTGGACCAATCACAATCAAACTTCACACATACATCATACATGATATCATACATATGCACGTCAATTTGTTTCACGATCTGATTCAAGATGGCCGAGTAGCGGCCATTTTTGTTCTAAAAATCATCAAAATCAAGCATTTCCCGGCTGTTTACAGATGGATTTTGTTCAAACCTTGTATATACGTTGGAAATTAATATGAACAGATTTGAGTGTAAAACTAATGAGGTCTGCGCAATGTAACAGAAAATCTATGTTTCCAAGTTTAATTGAAATGTGATTAGAACCAAAAAATTGTGAATTATTATGCTTATTAGGGAATTAATATGAACAGATTTTTACCCCAAACTAATTAGGTTTGTACATTGTCTTAGAGCATCTTTGTACTAAGTTTCATTGAAATGGAATAATTAGTACTTTAGATATCAGTGTGAAAGCTGATTAATTAATATGTACAGATTTTAACCCACAATTATCCAGGTCTATTGTCTATTGTCCTACAGCATCCATGTACAGTCATTGATATGTGATATTTAGTACCTGAGATATCAGTGTGAAAGTTGGTTAATTATGCAAATTAGGTGATTAATATGCACAAATATTTACCGGAAACTAATTGGGTCTGCATAATTCTAGATTCATTGAAATGTGATGATTAGTACTTTAGATATCAGTAGAAAAGCTGAAAATTAATTATGCAAATTAGTTAATTAATATGCACAATTATTTACCCTAAAACTAATCAGGTCTCTGCATAGTCCTAAAGGATCTATGTACCAAGTTTCATTGAAATGTGATGATTAGTACTTGAGATATCAGTGGAAAAACCAAAAATTGACTAACCATTATGCAAATTAGGTAATTAGTACCCACGGATTATTACCTAAATAAACTAATTGGGTCTGCATAATTCTAGATTTATTGAAATGTGATGATTAGTACTTTAGATATCAGTAGAAAAGCTGAAAATTAATTATGCAAATTAGTTAATTAACATGCACAATTATTTACCCTAAAACTAATCAGGTCTCTGCATAGTCCTAAAGGATCTATGTACCAAGTTTCATTGAAATGTGATGATTAGTACTTGAGATACCCGTGGAAAAGCTGAAAATTAACTAATTATGCAAATTAGGTGATTAATATGCACAAATATTTATCGGAAACAATCAATCTCTGCATAGTCCTTAAGTATGTAAGTACCAAGTTTCATTGAAATGTGATGGTCACTACTTATATCAAATGCTGAAAATTAATTAATTATGCAAATTAGGTAATTAATATGTACTGATATTACCAGAAAAACTATCAGGTCTGTGCAGTGTCATATGACATCTATGTACCAAGTTTCATTAAAATGTGATTAGTACTTATATCAAATGCTGAAAATTAATTAATTATGCAAATTAGGTAATTAATATGTACTGATATTACCATAAAAACTATCAGGTCTGTGCAGTGTCATATGACATCTATGTACCAAGTTTCATTGAAATGTGATGATTACCGGTAGTACTTGTGATATCAGTGGAAAAACCGAAAATTGACTAATCATTATGCAAATTAGGTAATTAGTATCCACGGATTATTACCAAAAACTAATCAAAACCTAGCATTAGTTCAGAGCATGTATGTACAAAGTTTCATCAAAATCCAATGAGTGGTTGTTTAGATATCAGTGGAACAATCATGGAACAGCTAAAAATCAGCTAATTATCATGCAAATTAGGTAATTAATATGCACGGATTTTTACCAAAAACTAATCAAATCTGCGCATATGTTCAGAGCATCTATGTACCAAGTTTCATCAAAATCCAATGAGTGTTTTTTTAGATATCAGTGGAACAGTCATAGAACAGCTAACAATTAGCTAATTATCATGCAAATTAGGTAATTAACGAGCATGGATTTTTACCAAAACCTAATCAAATCTGCGCATTGGCCCAGAGCATCTATGCACCAAGTTTCATCAAAAACCGATGTATGATTCTTGAGATAGCAGTGGAACAATCGGACACACATACACACATACACATACACACACACAGACACACTAACTGCAAAGACTCCCAATTATGTGCTTCGCACATGGGAGTCAAAAATCACTTGACTGTGACAATGCAAGATTCTCGCAAACTGTTTTAATAGTCCTGATGTTAAGGCTCGCTCTCATTGAAAACACTGACCGTTCGTCCAAACACTGATCACTGGCGCAGAAGTGGTCAATATGGTGGTTTTGATAGTAAAGTGTGAACATACAACTAACTAGTATTAACTATTATTAAATTCTGAACGGCATTTCAAATCTAATAGTTGTATGACACTGGGACCTCTCGTTACGTGTTTTGGGTGCTTGTTCTAAATGTAATATGTTATTTTAATGAGACAGTTACGTGAAAAAAACATAGGTAACTCATTTTGACAGAGCAGAGAAACGAGGAAATGTTAATGATTAATTCCAAAACTAACGATACCGAATCCA